TTCAGATCAAGCATTTATTTTAAAAAGCTTCTTCATTTTGTTAATTTGTCTAGAACAATGATAAAACAGTCTTTAAGAAATAAGTCTAATAATTTAAACATTCTATAGGCAGTTATAGTTATTGACTTGCCTCCTTGCACCAAACAGTCTGTTTCAGTTTTGCCTGATTAGAAGAGGAAGAAAAATCTGTCTCTGCCTCCCAGCAATTTGCCTCCTGGCAGCAAATAGCAAGTTTCAGTTTAAGCATGGGCCTCCCGATCATCAGCTGTTTCAGGCTGCCATAGCCTATTGCTGCCTGCATTTTCTCAGTTTGCTGTAAGGAGGCAAATTGCTGGGAGGCAGAGGCCAAAGGGTGGGGGCCGGTGGGTGGGTGGGTCTACATTCGGTGTATAACATGAGCGTAAATTGGGGGGGGGGTGCGTCTTATACTCAGAAAAATATGGTAGATCAAATAAAGAATATGATTGTAAATTTCAGTTGTTATTGCACAAAATATTTATGCCCAGGCGACACCCTGTTTAACGGAAGATGGATTGTTTATATTAAAATAAAATCAAAACTTAACCAAAAATAATAATATTTGGAACCCTGCTCTCCAGTTCGCAGAAGCCGAATGTGCCCGCCGTGCCCTGGAGCAGCTGAACGGTTTCGAGCTCGCCGGCCGGCCCATGCGGGTGGGACAGGTCACCGAACGGCTGGACGGCACCACCGACATCACTTTTCCCGACGGGGCGGATGAACCCGACCGGTCAGCTCTGAGCTTGGGGACCACCGGCTCCCAGCTGCAGCTGATGGCGAAGCTGGCCGAAGGTGAGAAATTTGGAAGTGGGGAGTGGATTCTGTTATACGTTTGGAAAGGCGCAGGAGGAAGGGAATAATTCCTTTCGGGATCAGAGAGTCCTTGACTTAACAAACTGTTTGGTCACAGTTCAAAGTATTTTTTTCCCCCAAATTGTATTTTCATCTGATGGGATGTTCTCATTTTTCCAATTTTGTGCAAATACGATTCTCGCTGCTGTCAATACATGTAGCATTAAGTATATATTGTTCCTTTGTCATAGCTTTCTGGTATTATACCTGACAAAAATATTTCTGGCTTTAAATTGATATGCTGCTTAATCAATGACTTAGATGAGGAGATAGATAGGGTTAGGAACTGGGTATGTCTAGATTAATGAAATGAAGGACTAGGGGAGACCTGATAGCAGTCTTCCAATATCTCAGGGGTTGCCACAAAGAAGAGGGAGTCAAGCTATTCTCCAAGGCACCTGAGGGTNACTTGGGAGTAAGGCCACAGGTGGACGATGAATGGCTCTTCCCAGAGGAAAGAAAAGAGGAGCGGAAGGGGAGTGGAGTTTGCAGGAGACAAATTAGTTTGCTTCATTGGTTCTGAGACTCCTCGCCAAGTTTTGCCGAGATACCCGCCTAGCAGCTCTCCAAGCCAGAGAAGGTCTGTGACTGTAAATCCTCCCTTGAAAGACTTTGCTGGACGTGAATGAGCAAAAGTCACAGTCAATTTAATAAAGCGGCTTTTTGCCGGGACGAGGAGTTTGGGAAGCCTCACTCAGAACATCTAAAATCTACACGTGAGGGCTAAAACAAAATAAACTGGGTTATTTCTGGCTGTTTTTTGACGCCCCCTCCCTTTCCCCAATCTGTGGACATAGGCGGAGAAGAACAGGCTGGCTGCCATGGCGAACAACCTTCAGAAAGGCAGCGGGGGCCCCATGAGGCTCTATGTCGGTTCCCTTCACTGCAACATCACCAAAGAGATGTTGCGCGGGATCTTCGAGCCGTTTGGCAAGGTAAGGTGGGAGGGGGACAGAGAAGAGGGGAGGGGGGTGGATCCCCAGAAAGGGGGGGGGATGTCCTTGGCTTTTCTAAAGGGCTGGGCACCTTCTCTCTCTCTTCCATAGATTGACAGCATCGTCCTCATGCGGGACCAGGATACCGGACAGTCCAAAGGCTACGGCTTCATTACCGTAAGTTGGGTGGATTTTCTCCGCGGCGGGGCAGAGCGTAGCCTTATTTATTTATTATTTACTTATTGTGTTTCCCCGAAAATAAGACAGGGTCTTATTATCTTTTGACACCCACCCACCCCGAAATAAGCGCTTGGCTTCATTTTCGGGGAGGTCTTATTTTTTTTATTATTTTTTTTGTATTTTTTTTTATTTTAATTGAGCAAAAACACACACAAAAAAATCATCCTTCATTACATCTTGTAGAAAGCGTGTCGATTGATTACAGATAACTTTCGTGCATTTATTCCACAGTCATTACTTATCGTTCATATTAGATTATACACTTTAAAATCAAAATTTCAGGCTATATTTGTACAGATGCTGTTAAAATGGATGTGGCTTTCTGGAAGTATACATTATTCTCTGCTATTTAAAAGAAGATACCAACGCACTGGGCCTCTTCAGATCAAGCATTTATTTTAAAAAGCTTCTTCATTTTGTTAATTTGTCTAGAACAATGATAAAACAGTCTTTAAGAAA